CTGGAAGTGTGGGGGGTGAGAGTGAAGAGGGTGGTCTCAGGTGTACAGAGGTGCCACGAGAGGGGATGTGATGTCAGGTGTGCGTGGGTGCGGGTGAGGCCCTCAGACCGGCTGTGAAGTCCTCAGTGGGCACAGACGCGGGTGTCAGGGTCCCAGTGAGGGTGTCAGAATGCGGGGGTGGGGCTTTAACCTCTCCCTGCCCCCTGACGACGCTGTCAGGCCCCGCCTTGCTGCCCCCGCCTCGGGGCCTGTGACAGGGCCCAGGCCGCTCCCGCCCCGGGCCCCTCCCGCCCCGGGCCCAAGACCGCAGCCCTGCCCGCCCCGCGCCTCTCACCGGCCGGGACGCGCCGCCGCCGCCACCTCCTGCCTCTTCGGCCCCGCCTCGCGCAACCCCAGCGCGCGCCAGGGGAGGGGGCCCCGCCGCTCCCCGATTGGCAGTACCCCGGCCAATCAGCGCGGGGGAGGGCAGGAATTGGCGGGCACGAAGCAGAGGGGCAGCCTTTGCGGCCAATCGCTATAGGGTGGAGGCGGGGCCGTTGTGAGAGGCCGTGGGTGCCCCGGGAGGTCCCAGAAGGTGGAAGGCGCTGGGAGGCAAGGGCCTGGAGGGGGACGAGGATTGGAGGTCTCAATGGCGACGGGCAGCCCCGGCGGCCACTCGCTGGGGAGTGGGGGCGGGGCTCCGAGCACCTTGGTTCCCCCTGCAGGCCGAGGCGAGGGAACAGAGGGCGTAGCCCAGAGGGCAGCGCGGATTGGCTGCAATTCGAGACGGGCGGGCACGGCGGCCAATGGCGGGGTGCGGATGGGCGTGCAAAGTGCAGGCTCCGGGCTAAGCAGTGGGGAGCCGGCCCCCCACTGGGGCAACGAACTGAGTTCCCACGGCGTAGGGACTCGTGCATCCCCGCCGCTGACCTGCAAACGGCCCGCAGAGGCAGACGCGCAGCCTAGGACGGACGCGTGGCCTGGGGCCATGCGAGGACGCTTTCTGTAATGGTCTGGCTCCGTGGAGTCCGAGCCCCCTCCTCCGCGGAACAGTGACGTCCCTGCCGGCCTCTTCCCCACTCTTAGCCGTTGGTGCATTCATTCCAAGTCCTAACCCCAACTCTGTGAGGTCAAGGCCATTGTAGAGACTGGGCTCAGAGAGGTCAAGCGCCTTGCCCGGGGTCACACAGCACTCCGGCAGCCAGTTCTGAGTGTGAACCCAGCACACTTCCCTTTTGGAAGAGGAGACGCAGTGTCAGAGCAGACACATGAGAATCCCTGTTCAGACCCTGGCCCTCTTGGCGGTGCGGCCTTGGGCAACGTGCTGGTGAGCTCAGGTTCCTCTTGGAAATGGACAGGACTCCTCCATCTCGATATCCCTGCTCTGTGCTCTAGGGCGGCTTCCAGAGAATTTATACCCCAGCCCTCTCGGTGACCTTCTGGTGGAAGCATGTGCCCTCCTCAGTGAGCCGCACTTAGCCTGCATGCTCAGCTTCTGTCTGTCACCTGCTGTCCGAGGGGCATTTAGGGACACCTGCTACCCTGTGCTAGGCCAGGCATCTAGCCTCCCCCAGCCCACTCTGCTCTCTGACTCACCAAGGACACTCACTTAAGCTCCCAGGTGGAGAGGGTTATAAATGTCCCCACATACAGCAGCTCTTATTTCCTGAGTGCAGCTGGGGCTGGTGAAGATCAAGTTCAGAGCCAGGGAAACCTGGGAGGGGCTAGGCCGAGCTGCAGGGTAATATAGCTCCCATCTCAGGGTCTTGCAAGCCCATGCTGGGTGCCCCATCCGTGTCTCACAGGCCCTCTGCGTGGAATGGAGATTGAGGCTCCTACACTGGAAGTCTTAACTCCTGGTGTCCCCACCTGGCCTCCTTTCCTGGGCCCCCAGCTGATCTCTGCTTCGCAGTGGGTGGCCCAGCAGAGACATGCTGAGACACAGCTGCCAGTGGATCCCCAGGGATTGTCCTTCCAGGACCTGGAGGGACGGGAGGAGGAAGCTGGCACTTTGTCACCTCACTGGGCACTTCCCAACACCATCTCATGACCTGGTTTCTAGGGGGTGTGACAGGCCCACTTTGTAGCTGAGAAAACTACTGCATGACGAGTGTTCCCCAGTGGGAAGGCCCAGGGCTGGGTTTCAGCCTCTGCTCCTTTTTACTTCCTGGTTACGTGACCTTCAGAAAGTGACTCAAACTCTGCCTCAGTTTCTCCAGCCACCTCCCAGAGTGGATGATGCCATCGGAGAGATGAATGAAAGTCAAATGCCATGACCAAGCTGGTCCACAGGGGGCATTTGGAATGTTGGTGAAGCGCACACTTTTGTTCTTTCTCTCCTCTGGGCCTCAGTTTCCTTCTCTGTAAACTATGCCTCATGGAATGAGGACAAAGACCAACTCCGCCATAAGAAGCTTGTGACTGAGAAGGGAGGTCTCTGTGCTGGAGGCAGCCATCCCTGGTGCCCACCTGCCAGTTTGAAATGGGGACAGCCAGCTCCTGGCAGGCCCCGTGGTGCCCAGGGACAGTGCCAACTAAGGCAGGGGTCAGGCAGCAGCCCGGAATGACAGCCTCGGCCCATGGTGCCAGTGCACTGACCTCTGGCTTCTGTCCACTCATCAGCATGCTGGCGCTGGACAACCTCCATGCAGTGGCGGGCAGTGCCCCTTGGCAGCAGCAATGACCTTCCCCTCTGCAGGCACCTCAGCTGCACCGGGCCAGGGTGCGGGGACCCAGGAGTCACCCAACGGGATGCTGTGGGTGAGGCTTGGTGCAGCATTGGGGCTTCGCCACCCAGACAGGTCAGGCCACCCGAGGTGAGGCTGGCCCGGGCGCCAGTCAACTGCAGCCCCTTCTACATGGGGAAGAGGTGTGTTCCCTGCCCGGGACCTGGGTCCTCCTAGTCTGCAGGGAGAAGTGACAGCAGCCTGCCCCGACGGGTTTACTCATCCACGTTGCCCAAGGGAGTCTTGTGTCAGCCTCACAGAGCTTAGAGAGGTTGGGCTGCATGTCCAGTACTGCAGACTGGCAGAGGCCTGGCCAGACTGTATGTGTTATTTTTACCCGCTTCCCTCTCGGCAGCACCGATGTCATCAACGACAGTGAGGGCTCCTTAGAAGGACGGTGGCAGTGGATAGGTACTCCCGAGCCGGGCCCGCTGGGCTGTCTGAGCCAGGTACCTCATGCAGGGACAGAGGGGAGGCCGAGGCTCCAGGGGGGTGATGCCTGAAGGGGCAGAGAGGATCCCCTGGTTGTTCTTTCCCCACCACCTACTGCCTGCAGTGTGCATGCAAACATGTTAGGGCAGCACCTTCTGGCGCTCATTTCCTCAGGCTAAGGTAGGAAGGGCTGATAAAGCCAGCTTCCTCTCCCTGGAAGAACCTGGGGCTCCAGGAGCATGCTGGCCAGGAGCCAAGGGGAGGGCTGGGCAGAGTCTGTCCCTCCACCTCCCTTGGGCTGGTTAATTTAGTCAGGTGCACTCAGAAAATACCTTTGGGAAGCCTGGGCACATGGGGCAGATGAACTCTGCCCCGCTTGGCTCACAGGCCCGCCGTCAGGGAGGGAGGAAAGGAAGCGGCAAACACACAGCCATCTCAGCTGGTGTCAGGGTCCGCAGATACATGTGGCACGGGGCTGGGAGCTCAGGGGGGCTGAGGAGGGAGCAGGTAATCTGAGCCTGGGGCAGGAGGGAGCCAGGCTGTGGGGTGAGCTGGGGTGGGGTGGCTGGAGGGTGAAGACAAGGGGGGAGGGGGGTGGGGCCTGTGGGCACAAGCTGAGGGCCATGGGAAGCCATGGGCAGTTTGACAGCAGGGCTGGGGCAGGACCTGCAGGGTGGAGAAGGGACAAAATAATTAAAGGGCTGGCCCCTCAGGCCTCCCTGGAATTGGCCTGGCATCCCTTTCCATGAGACATGAAGAGGCTCAGTGCAGCCTGAGGACATCCCCACGGTCACAATTGGTGGCCGACCCAGGGTCAGGTCAGGTCTGCCTGAGCCTCAGAGAGTGGAAGTAGGGTGCTGGGGTGGGGTTTACATTGGCCAGGAGAGCTGCTGCGGGTCCCCAGAGGGCAGGGCACCCTGACTGGCAGGCCCCTACCTATAGGGTGAGATGTCCCTACGTGGGGGTGGAGCCAGGGCCATATATCCTCATAGCTACTTGCATAATCTGATTTCCATGGAAACCAGGCACCTCCTGGAAAAGGACTGAGGTGAGGTCAAGGATTGAGGTGGGCTCTGGGAGAGGGAGGGCCCCCAGGTGGGGGAAGAGGAGCCGGGCATGATGCCTGGAGCCCCCTTTTGAGGTTCCGCTGGACCTGACTTGGCCACACAGGGGATGAGCTGCCTGGTACCTCAGAACATGGGGAGGGGGCAGGTACTGGGGGCAGCAACAATGATGCCCACCCCAAATAGGGAAACTGAGGCTCAAGGAGGTGTGTAGCCTGCCTAGGCCACTGGGTGGATGAGGACTACCACCCGGCCAGAGGTTGGCTGTCAGGCACTGGCAAGGACTACAGGGTGGCTGTGTGGGAGGTTTGGTGACCAGGAGGCTGGTGATGTCAGCAGGTGCAGCCAGGACAGTTGGGGCCACCAACTGCAGCCTTGTTCCACCCCTTGGAGTGGACTCTGCATCCCCGTTTTATGGGGACCACCAAGGCTCAGGGGGCCCATGAGCCCATGATGCTGGCTCAGACATTGTGCTCTGAGTCCCCCAGGCGACATGCTCTTGGCACCTGCAGACCCCTTGTCCTGCTACTGTGTCTCCACCAGCCAGTCCACAGATCGAATACCTGAGCTACTCTCAAAACCCCTCGCTTTCCTTGGCGACCCTCACAGCCTCCCACCAGGCCAAGCTATGGGACAGGCACTGTCCACTCTGCATCCACGGTCTTTATTCTTGGGCACCAGAGGAAGGACGTGCATGGCCCCGCCCACTGGCCGGCAGTGCATGTGTCCAAGACCCATTTTACAGATGAGGACAAGGACAGAGGCAGGACCCCAACCCCACAAACAGACCACTCAGATGCCAGCAGTGGATGCCAGACATCATGGGGTGGCGGCAGGCAGTAGGGCCCTGTGCTCCTGCCAACACTGTGAAAGTCCTTCTGGGAGGAAAGGGCCAGGAGGAGGGGCCGGGGCAGCCAGGACTGGGTGCTTCTTGCCAGCTGTTGTCAGATGCACCTGACAGTGGGAGCAGGTGGGCCCAGCTGCTGCACAAAGCACAGGGGGCCATGCCCGCTGCAGCCCCTGACTCACCCTGAGTCCCTGTGCCTGAGCTGGTCACAGTGCCAGGTTACCCTTCTGGCCTGTCCACAGCTCACAAAGTTCCACGCGGCAGCCCAGGTCCCGCAGGGCGGCCTTGGCCACGTCCTCGCAGTCACGGTGGGCAGCACGGGCCTTTGAGATGAGCGCCTCAGCTCCCAGGTCCAGAATGGGCTGTGAGAAGGCCTGGCTGCGGGCCACCAGGTTTCGGATCAGCATACAGGCCTGTTTCTGGAGAGGGGAGGTAGTGGTGTAAGCTGTGGGGTCCCGGGCCTGGGTTCACTCTGGCCTTGGGATCGTCATCTAATGCGAGGCACAATGATGACTGTAGCCAACTGCGCCAGGCCTGACCCATCTTCCTATTTTACCCTCTCGGCAGCTTAGAGTAGGCGAGTGGGGGCCTGAGGTCCCTGAGGCTGGCTCAGAGCCAGGACAGGAGCCCAGGGGACACAGGCATGGGAAGAGGGTGGCTGTGTGCAGGTATATTGTTCTCGTTTGTTCACCAGGCATCGGCCATGTGTGGGCACAGGGGCACTGTGGCGACACTTCCTAACAAGGCGCCTGCCTCCAGCGGGTGAGAAGTGAGAAAGGGGCTGCTTGGTCAGGGTGGTTGGGGGTGGACCAGGTGGTGGGAGAGCCAAGGGGAGATCTGGGGGAGGGGTCCTGGATGAGGGAGCAGCAAGAACAAAGGCCAGGGTGGGCAGAAGCCTGGAACGTTCAAGGACCTGGAGGAAGCGCCTGTGCTGTGTGGGGGGCAGAGAGGCAGGAGGGTAGGAGCCCAGCAAGAAGTCTGGGTTCTAGGTAGGTGCAGGGGGATGACTGCCCACGAGGCATGGCCGGTGGTGTCCCCATATCCAGAACTCATTGTGTCCCAGGGACTGGGCAGGGGGCCTTCCAAAACCCCAGCAGACCCATACCCGCTTCCTGTATCTTCTCTTCCCTCCCAGACCCCTCTAAAGGGATCCCTTGGGGTGAGGCCCAGGAAGACAGCAGAGGAGACATCAGGCCGACCATCACTGGGGGTTGGGTAGATGCAGCACCCAGGGCAGGAAGGAGGGCTGCCCTTGCCCCCCCCCACCTGTTCCTACACCTGCCCCCTCGCCCTGTCCACCTGCACGCCAACTTCCTGTGGGTGCGCCTTCATGGCCTCCAGTGCAGCCAGGGCCCCGCCGCCCTCTACGATGACCCGACTGTTCTCCGGCTTGCGCAGGGCCAGGACACACAGGGCCGCACAGCTCTGCTCGCACACCTGATGGGGGGGTCACAGGGTGTTTGAGATGTACGGGAGAAGACAGTGAGACCCCTCCCACCCCCAGATGTCAGCTCAGCTGGTAACAGACCAATGACAGTGAAGACCTCAGATGACAGGACACTGTAGGCAGTTAGGGCCGGAGGGTCCCACCCCAGACAGGCTCTCCTGGGTGTGATGGTGGCAGTCACTCCAGAACACCCAGGGGCCCTCACTCTCAGGTCCATGCAGGGACACCTTGACCGCCTCACCCTAACAGCCTTGCTCTCCTCAGGCTGGATGCCTCACCCCTCTCACTCTGCCTACCCTGAGTGCCTCACTCTCCTTACCCTAGCCCTGGCCTGAGGAAGTGGGAAGGAGCACTAGGCAGATGTGGACACTGACTGGGACTCCACACTCCCACCCCAAGTGGTGTGCACCTGGGGGCTGGCCAAGTGCCGGGTCATGGTGGCCACAATGGAGTCGGCCCCGCCAGCATGAACAATGGCGTCCTTCACATCGTCGTTGCCTGCGATGGCCCGCAGGGCGCTCAGCACCTGCTTCATGAGGTCCTGTGGTGAGGACATAGCAGTCAGCCTTGGCCCCCTCTCCTGGCTTCTGGGCTGTAGAGGGTGGGGTCTTCAGGTGGGTCTAGGGCAGCTGCCACACAGGTGGTCTAGGTTTGAACAGGTACGGCCATGGGCGGAGTCCTCACTGGCAGAGAGAAAGGGGCCCAGGAGGTGGATGGGGTCGAGCTACCTTCATTCAGCTGGGCAGTGTGGGCATGTGGACTATGACCCTCTAGGGGCATGTGGCTAGAGCCTGCCAATCAGCGCATGGGCCCTGGTCACAGCTGGGTGCAGCAGGAGGCAGGGCTGGGATGGAAGGAAACCAAGGGCCGGCCTCGACTTTTCAGAAGTGCAAGCAAAATGTCTTCCCTTGTTTGCTGAAGCCAGTTTAAACTGCTTCAAGTCTGGCTTTCTGCCTGGTTCACAGGCCAAGCCCTGGTGATGCTGCCAGTCAGCATGACCATCAGCGCCGTGTTCTGGGCACACCCAAGGAGCTTTCCTGGCTGCAGCAGGCTGATAAACGTTGATGGATGAAAGCAGAATGGGTAGGGGTCCCACCCCATTTTACAGATGGGGAAACTGAGGCCAGCAAGGGGGTGGGGCCTCCCTCTGAACCATCCTGAGCCCAGGCTGAGGTCCAGGGTTGGGGTCTGGGCTGGCCGAGGCTCAGGGGCAGAGTGCACCTGGGGGCCCTGGCTCTGCCCAGGGTTGAGGGAAACCACAGAAGGAACCCGGGAAGGGGGCTTCAGTGCCCACCTGGTGGTTGGTGTAATCAGCCAGCAAGCCCACCAGGATGCCCAGGCCCCCGATGTCCACAATCTCCTGGCAGAACTCATTGCGGACAGCCAGGCGTGACAGGGTGCTGCAGAGCTCACCCAGGACGCCGGGGTCATCAGGGAATGCTGTGGAGGAGAAGGGAGGAGAGCATGTGTGTTGGGGGGAAGAGAGCATGCATGGGGGATCAGGGGAGGTGGGAAGAGACCCAGAGAGGGGGCCGGGGAGAAACTGGGGGACATTTAGGGGGCCTGGGTGGAACTGGGAGGAGGATGAGGGACCCAGGATGGGGTCTGGGAGGATTCAGGGGGAGTCTTGGGGGGACCTGGAAGGAGGAAGGTGGACCTGAGGCGGGGCTGGCCACTGCCTGGCTCCTGGGTAGGAGAACTAGCCAGGTTTGGGGCCAGCGGTCTTGGGTGCAGAATCCACTTCCAATGGCGGGGGGAGGGGGGCTGCGGCTCTGATCAGGGGGGCCCAGCCCCTCTGCCTCACGGGACACCATCAGCACCTAGAGGCCTAGAGGCCCATCAGCACTAGGGGCTGCACCTGAAGAGAGTGCTTAGGGGCTGGACCTGGTGCCCACCCAGGGCCTGGGCCTGCAGCGCCCCCTGCTGGCTTCTGGGGGATAGGCAAGGACCACCCCCCACCCCTGCCAACATCCCCAAGAAATCCCAGACCAACTGATGGTCTCACCTAGAAAATGAAACTCGCAAAGTGCTAAAATAAAACTTGAGACGATTTTATGATCTTGAGGTGGGAATGATCCTTCTAAGTACGACACAAAACCCAGATGCCCTGGAGGGAACGTGGTCAACTGGCCGACACAGCACACAGTCATACCATGGCCCACACAGGTACCTGGGAGGGGATGCCTTTGCAGAGACCCCCAGAGTGAGGGCAGATACCACAGCCCCTGAGGAGACCCATGACGGTTGGTTATCCTTCGAATGTTATTCAAGCTGACACTGACCATCTGTAGATGTGGCTAACACCAACAGCCCGGGGACTAAGTACAGAAGACCACCCTCCAAACCTAGGGGGCTCTATCTGTCAGCTGAGGGCCCTATGAACAAACCCAGAGGGAGAAGGAGGAATTTTGTCCGAGGACCACGGCCTCAGCCCCTGCCGGTGTCCAGCCTGCTCTGCCCTGCAGAGATCAATCTCTTATTATATATAGCTATAGATACAAACATAGAGATATATTTGTTGTTAGTTGCTGTCAAGCTGATTCCGACTCATGGTGACCCCATGTGTGCAGAGTAGAACTGTACTCCATAGCATATTCAGTGGCTAGTTTTTCAGAAGCAGATCACCAGGCCTTTCTTCCAAGGTGCCTCTGAGAGGACTCGAACCTCTAATCTTTTGGCTAGTAGCTGAGCGTGTTAACCACTTCCACTACCAGGACCTGCACATATGTATATTGTGTGGGTTGTTTCCTGGAGAACCTAGGCTGACACAGCTCCCGTAAGTGAATAAGACAGCTTCCCCATCAGAAGAGCAGCTGACGTGCAGACCACCGGGCCCGTGTCGCCCTCAGGTGGCGTGGACGGGGCCAGGCGCACACACAGCTGTGGACGGAGTCATGGGGTGGGCAGCACAGGGGCGCTCACTCTCCTAGCACGTTCTGGGCTCTGGGCGCTGGTCTGGCCTTCCCCAGGCAGGAGCAGTGGACTGGGCAAGGCTCTAGGGTCTGAATGTCAGCATTGTGAGGGTGGGACCAGCATGGGCGGAGCTGGGCACTTGAACATGCACAGAATTTGTGGCCAAATATGGTAGGAGTGCGAACCTTGCTGGGACAAGCCTCAGTGTGGGCATCGAGACTCCTTCTTTGGAAACAGCACCCCAATTTCCCTGGGGGAACTCTCCCTTTCCCCCTCCAGCCATGTAGCTGGACAGCGTGAGGACCCCTCTCCAAGCCACTCCAGGGATGGGCTCATTCGGGCCTGGCCAATGAGGCCCAGCCTGCAGCCCCCCTGGGCAGCCAGCACATTAACTGTCCAGCTGAGCCCCAAGCCTCAGAGGAGGCCATGCCCCCCAAGGGCTACCCCCTGCCCCCTACCTTGGGCGGTCTCCACCAGCACACGATCCCCTCAGCTGAGCCTCAAGCCTCAGATGAGGTCATGCCCTCTGGGGCCACCCCCTGCCCCCTACCTTGGGCAGGCTGAGCTGCCCAGCTGAGCCTGGCCTCAAAGGAGGACATGTCACCTGGGACTGTCCCATACCCCCTACCTTGGGCAGCCTTGACCAGCACCTTCAAGCCTCGGTTCTCCTGCACAATCATCTTGGCATGGCTGTGGGCATGGCCGAAGGGCACGCGGATGTCGTCGTCGAAGGTCATGATGCGGAGTGCCCCGCAGGCCTCCCGGACGACGTCAGCGCAGCGGCTGTGCTGGGCGATGGCTCCAGTCAGCAGGGGCAGCACTCCAGCCTTGACCAGGGCCTGACGGTTCTGCTCATGCTTCAGGCAGACATGGCGCACCAGGCGGAGCGCAGCGCAGGTGAGGTTGGCTACTCCAGCACCCTGAGACAGCGTCGCCACCAGCAGCTGCAGGCCCTGGGCATCCAACAGGTCGGGCTGGCCATCTGTCAGCACAGTGAGGGCGTCCAGCACCTGGAGCAGGAGGGCTGGGTCGCCTGCTGCAGCCAGCTGCCAGATGGCAAGCAGCACAGGATAGGCTCCCTTCTGGGCAGCCAGGAAGCGGCAGGGCCTGTGCTGCTGGCACTGATCACGGAAGCGGGCCAGGGGCACCGATACTTCTCGCGGCTGGGAGCAGGCCACGGCCTCCCGCAGGGCGTCCAGGGCCTGGGGGACACAAGAGAGACTGCTGTGGGGCTCAGTCAGAGATAGCACCCAGACTGCAGTGCAGGTGCTCACACCCTGTGGGTTCTCTTCGCAGATCTGGGCTGGTCCCGGCTGTGATGGCCTCCACAGCCCTATTGTCGGAGCCTGAGTTCCATGTAGGGAGTCTGGCTGCCTATTTGCATAGGCTACATGGAGAGGAGGAGGCCTGGACACCCTAGTGTGCCTGGGTAACATGTGAGCACAGACCATGTAAACATTCCAGCCCTTGTTGCCCCTGCATGAGCAGCCCCAAGTGAGGCCCACAGAAGAACCATCCGGCTGAGCCCAGTCAGGCTGCAGAATTGTAACAGACAATATAATGGCTGCTGATTTGAATTGCTTGTTACACAGCTGTAGCTGGCTGACATACCTGCCAATGATCAGCTGTCCAACGAGGTCCTCAAACCTGACCATTCCAGATGTCTCCTTTAGTCTAATTTACTCAACACGTATTTACCAAGGCCCTGCCAAGTGGAACCACACTGTATACACAGTGGACTTACCCAGATTCAACGCTAGGCCCTTGATTAGACTATTAAACAATATTTAATTATTATTATTAAAATATTAATTATATTGCAAATGGTTAAGCATGCAACTACTAGCTGAAAGGTTGGTGGTTCAAGCCCAGTGGCGCCTCAGAAGAAAGGCCTGGCAATCTGCTTTCAAAACATCACAGCCTTGAAAACCCTGTAGAGCAGTTCTACTCTGCAGATATGGGGTTACCATGAGTTAGAATATCGACTTGACAGCAACTAACAACAATTACATTAAAATAATTCTAATTATTTAAAATCTAATATTAAAGAGAGGAGACAGTCTGAAAAGTGTGCGAGTCAGGGGCATGACCACATGCCTTGGATGAGCACCAGATGAACCTGTGTCCTTGGTGCTAGTGAAACCACTAGCATCTGTGCCCGGGATGGAAGGCACCTGTACAGAAACCACTGCCCAAAGGGCTGTAACTCACCTCAACTGCCCCATTGGCAGACCTTCCCTGAGCCTCAGACTTGTGCACCTTAGAGGAATTTGATGGCTCAACCCAAAAAACTCCCAAACCTGTAGCTGTTGAGTCAATTCTGACTTGTGGCAACTCCATGAATTACAGAGTAGAACTGAGCTCCATAGGGTTTTCTTGGCCTTGATCTTTATGGAATGAGATTACCAGACCTTTCTTCCTTCCACAGCACTGCTGGGTGGGTTCAAACTGGCAACCTTTTGGTTAGCAGCCAGTGGCCCAATAGAGTATTAAAAAAGTAAGTTAAAACCAGAGGCCGTGGCATTATAGCAGGAATCTTGTAAGAAACTGGAAAAAGCATGTGAGGCCAGTGCCTCTGAGAATGCCCAGTGCTGGAATTGCAATCATTCTGCATTTAGTCAGAAGAGGGAGAAAAAGAAAATTACAGATATCTGCACACTGTGCCTGTCAAATTTAAGTGGAATCACGCCTTGGCCGGGATCTCATTCTAAAGTTGAATTTCTAAGTGGGCTTGTTAACCCTGTGACCTTGAGATCATGCCTGCTTGTTAAGATGACATCTGTTAAAATGGAGAAGACAAGGTGATGTCCCTGGGTGGTGCAAATGGTTCACACACTTAGCTGCTAACCGAAAGGTTGGAGGTTCGACCCAGAGGTACCTCGAAAGAAAGGCCTGGAGGTTTATTTCCAAAAACTCAGCCACCGAAAACCCTATGGAGCTCAGCTCTACTCTGACACATATGGCGTTGACTTGACAACAGCAGTAAGGGCCACATCTGTCAGCTATGCTTGTTCCTGGGTCCCTTCATTCTCTGTGACAGATTGCTTTTAGCCTGTAAATTCCCACATACATTAAGTGGCCTGACTCACTTTTTACTCAGAGTTTCAAGACTTGATTTTATTTCTACAAGCCTGTTTGCTACACAGTTTACGGCTCTAGCAGATTAATTTCAAAGGCACCATAGATTTGAATTCTTCTCCCTCAGTAGTTAGCCTTTTTCACACACCGGAGCCCCTATACCTGTGAACAGTACACAGGGGGTGCAAGGAGGGGGTCGGCTCTGTTGGGGGCTGAGAAGGGCTGGGAGGGTGCAGACCTGAGTGTCCACGCATCACCTTTGGGGAAGAATGAGAACAGGGATGGTGTTGAGGAAGTGGACGGGACTTCCAGTTCTTACTATAAATGTGTGAGTACGGCTTGAATCTTTTATGCCAAGAACGTATTCACATTCTTGTTCTGTAAAGAAAAATTAAATTTAAAAAGTCAAATTAAGAAGAAAAAGAGCAAAGGTTGAACACAAACAAGGGGGTTCCTGTTATCTACTAGTAAAGTCTGAGCCTGTCTACATTCAGAAGGAGGGATGAGAATCAGGATCAGCACAAAGCTGGCTCCTATGAGGTGGAGGGCAGACATACCTCCATTCTGGGAATTCGTCACCATTTTTGACACCAGCTGTTCCTCCCAAGGCTCTCTGTATTTCTCTGCTGGGTTCGATAATTCGATGCAATGGCCACACAGAACTCACAGACCACACTCACGATTATATAGTTTATTAGGGAAGTAACAGGCTACAATGCAGGATCAAGATTAACTTGGAAGTAACAGGATACAACTCAGGAGACAGGATACAGTTTGCCAATCAGGACAGCTTGCAACCAGGATGGCTCTCAGCTCCTTCTCGGCTGTGCCTGCAGTCGAACCCTTCTCTTGGAGTGCCAGCCAATGGCCCTTCTCTCGGCCGCGCCAGCAGGTGGCCTTTCTCTCAGCTGTGCCAGCCTCTGCCCTGCTCGGGCAAGTGTTACAGCACTTTAGCTGGAGGCAACCCACTCCACCAGCAAGCCTCCTGCCAGAAGGTGCTCAGCTCTCTCTCGTTCTGTGGGTTGGCAAGCCCACTGCAGCTGTCTACCGGTACCTATGGTTCATGTCACTTGTACTGCTGCCACCATTTCTCTGCTGCCAGGTTCTGCTGTGGTTGTCATGTTTCTTGTTGTCTTGTGCCATCATCAGCCTAACAGCTCTCTCTCAGGTCTAGGAGGTTCTCGGTGCAGGGACCCAGGGTTGAAATGACACACTTTGCTCCAGGCTCTTCTTGATGGTAGTGAGGTCCCCCCAACCTCTGCAGAATTGGCCCTTATATTCAATTTCAAGGCATGGCCCTTCCAGCCACACTACAAACTGACCAATCCCCTCCGTAAACCACAATCACTCAATGCATAGAAATCAACCAATTCCTGCAAAGTCAGTTAATCCTATTGTATGGTTTTAAGCACCTATTTGCATAGTGTACTGAGCAATCCCTTGCAAGACTGTGGCCTAGCCAATCATTTTGGCAGAATTATAAACTCAAGGCCAGAAGCCATATATGAGAAAATCACTGCACTGTACCTGTATTGCTGGTACAAGGCATCAGAGTGGTTCAGAGCTTGGCTTTTGTGGGGAGATGGGGCTAGGTCTGGGTCCCAGCTCTGCTCCTCACTAGCTGTGACCTTCTGCAGCCCATTTATCTCTGAGAAGCCTTGCTTTCGTCAACAGCAAAATAGGCCTATCTCAGATTGAGACAAGAGTTTTAAGAACTTAGCACAATGCCAGGCACTTAAGAAGCACTCAGTGACCTCAGCTATATTGTTATTGAGATTCCCTCCTATATAAAGGGCTTTTACAAATCAATAAGAAAAAAAAGATGACCATCTCAACAGAAAATCTGGCAGAAGACAAGCTTGAGTGGGTCACAAAAGAAGAACCATGAACCAATATAGTTCATCCTTACTTGACTAGCGAAGAAAGGCAAAAGAAAACAATATTATTTTCGCAAAGCCTCTGCACGGCAGGAGGCGCAGAGGATGCTGAGGCAGTGAGAGGCAGAGCTGGGCTTCCACCCTCCCATCACTACACTTCCTTGCCACTAGGAGAGCCAAGCCATGCTTTTCTCTTTGGAGCTTGATGTCCCCATCTGTAAAATGGGGATAATAGTTCAACCTTGACTATGAAAACACAAGGAAGGCGCCCAAACCAGAAGTAGGCCCACCGTCCATTCTCTACAAGCACTAGACCCATCTGCCATGTACTGAGCTTGACGGACAATGTTAAGGAGAGTGCCCAGCTCCTATGAGCTCTACCTTCCTGCATGGAAACCTGCACTGGTGTCGGTTTCCCCACCTTAACTCAGGAACATGGCACCCCCACCCCACACGCAAGCTTAAGTACCAGTAGACAGTTGAGGCCCATAAACAACCGCTCCTGCTCTGACCCGCCCTTCCCACGTGACCCCTACCCACCTCTCTTTGCACAAACCCCGTGGCACCCTCAGGCGGCTCAGGGACCACTGGGAGCACACTGGTCCTGAGCCTTCTGCTGAGCTGAGAGGCTCTGCCAAGGTGGCAGCCTGCCCCTACCTGTAGGACTTCGTGTTCTGGCTCCTCTGGTCCCTCTGCAGAGACTCTGGGCACCGTCTTCACGATGTTGCTCAGATCAATGCCTGGGGGCGGGGAAGGAATGAGGGGAGACTGAAAACAAGGGGTCCCCAACACCTGAGTCACAGCCCAGGAGCCTCTAGGGAGCCTGCCCAGCTCTTGCCCCCACTGCCCAGACAAGCCCCAGCACTGTGTCCACATGGGTGTGCACCCCCTTGGTCTTGGGCTGGCCAAGCAGAGTGGCGATGAGGTGGTCACTAAGCAAGGCTGGCTGACCACAGCTGGCTGTGCTGTGAAGTGACCACATTCTACCTGGGGGGTGAGGGTGCCTCCATGGCTTTCTCCCTTGGGGCTCCTCGCCCTGGCTACATCCCTACCTCTACTCCCCCAGAACACCCACAGGAAGCCCCCCATGCCCAATGCCTTCCAGTCACCCTTCAGCACCTCTCCAGTGCCTCTGCCCGTTCCATGCCCAGAGGCCAACTTCTGACCTCTGAGGCTGCATCCCTGGCTCCTTTCCATTGAGCTTCTTTCTGAGTTTGGCCAATGAAGGGCCAGATGCAAGCCAGAGGGCAGAGGAACAGGTGTTCATTCCCAGCTTCCGGCTGCAGGGCCAGCCTCAACTGTCATGTATAGATACGGGTGCCTGAACCTGTCAGGGGACCCTCACCCAAAGCTACAGCTCCCTGTGGGTGTCAGGTGGGCAATGGCTCCTTGCCCTGACCCTCAGGGTCCCTGCTGTGGCCTGTAGGGGATCCCTGCCATGGGTTTCCTAACCCTGACCCATTGTAAACAGCCCTCTCACTCCCATTTAACACTCCTGTGTGACGCCATTCGAGCACTCCCTATCTCCTACAGACTGGAGCTGACACACCCCTTTAGTCTGGGTGAGCTGGGGCTCCGAGTTGGGCTGTGCCGTCCTGGGAGGTGGCAGTGAAAGCCTCTTCAAGAAAGTGACAGTTGAAATGAGACCCCCAAATGTCTGGTGAAGGGCAGGCAGGTACAGGCCCAAGGCCAGGTGGATGGTGGGAGGGCGCTCCCACTCGGTGTAACAAGCATGGCCAGCCCAAGTGGGGCCTCCACTCCCAACCCCTCCCACAGCAAGAGGAGCCTGTGCCAGCACCAACCTTGTGACTCAAACTGCTCCATGGCCTCCCTCACAGCTTCATCCGGCCCCATCTCAAACTCCTCGATGTTCTCACGCACAGCTGCATCAAAGGTCTCCTGGCTGATGCGCTTGGAGGCCATCCTCATGCTGACGTGAGGGGCTGTGCCTGCCAACAGACGTGCCCGCCTGAGAAAGCAAGGAGACAGGATGCCACGCCATGGGTTAGAAGGTGGGGACTGGCCTTGAGAGCACCAGTTGTGGGGGTCTCCACCAGGGCCAGGACTTACGACCCCAAGAAAATCCTTACAACTGAGATCAAAGAAAAGAAAATGTCCCAACAAGCCAAGATTCTCTAAAAGTGCAGAATAGAGCATGTAGTTTACTCTGTTTATTTAAGAAAGGGGCCTTATTAATATACACCTTTTCCCCCAACACACACTTATAGTAAAAATAAATAAATGAATATTTTTTTTAAAGGAAGAAGTCCCTGGGTAGCACAAACAGTTAATGTGCTCAGCTACTAACCGAAAGGCTGGTGGTTCAAATCCACCCAATGATCTACTTCTGAAAAACCAGCCATTGAAAACCTTGTGGAGCACAGTTCTACTCTGACATACATGGGGTTGCCAGGAGTCAGGGTCGACTTGACAGCAACTGGTAAAAGTAAGAAGCTGTGATCATTGGGGTTGTGTGTCAACTTGGCTAGGCCATGATTCTCAGTGGTTTGACAGTTGTGATGTAGTTTGGCAGTCATATGATGATATGATCACTTCCATGATGAGATTTGATATAATGTGATCACCTCCATTATGGATCTGCTGTGAGTAGCCAATCAGTTGAAGGGGAGTTTCCTTGGGGATGTGGCCTGCATTGAATATAAGTGGACTCTCTAGCAAGGCTTGTTGGCTTTTGCTCACTCTGGATCCTGCAGCTGGCTCCTGTTCATCTGACCTCCAGTTCTTGGACTTGAGCTGGCAGCTTACCTGCGGTCTTGCCTGCCGATCTTGGGATTTGTTGATGTTCATAGCCTGTGAGCAACAGTCCTGCCGTCTGACCTGCTGATCTTGGGTTCACAAGCCTCTGCGGTTACGTGAATCAGAAGCCTCTATCCTGACCAATGGACTTAGCACATTCCAGCTGCGTGAGCCATTTCCTTGATATAAATCTCTCTCTACATATATTTATACACTTTACTGGTTTTGCTTCTCTAGAGAACCCAGCCTAAGACAGAAGCCGAAAACCAGTAGTTTTTGTCAGGGGGAGGCAGGACAGGACACAAGCAAGACTCCTCTCTCCAAATGTATGTTTTACAAGTTTGAATTTGGAACCACGTAAATGCTTTACATAAGAAAGTGAACCGAAATAAAACCAAGAGCAATCCCTGAAAATCAAGAGCAAAATGAAGCTCTTCCAGTGGCTCTGCACTGATAGGACCATTTCATGTGACTTTAAAATGCAGCCACATGACTGTACCTTCTTGGTGAGGTAAATCCGAAGGATGGTGTGAGCTGCAAAAGAAACTTTTCAACTCTTTTTAGTGGATGATGGCACTCTGAAACTATTACAGATGTGACATAACCAGTTGCCATCACGTTGACTCCGACTTCTGGCGACCCCATCTATGTCAGAATAGAAGTGTGCTCCACAGGGTTTTCAATGCCTGATTTTTCGGAAGTAAATCGCCAGGCCATTCTTCTAAGGTGCCTCTAGGTGAACTCGAACCTCCAATCTTTTCAGTTAGCAGCTGAGCGTGTTAATTGTTTGCAACCACCCAGGGTCTCCAGCAAGTAATAATGCTATATCATTAGGAACTAACATAGAAGAAAAAAAAGATTCAAACATAATAAAACTAAAGAAGTTAATTAAAAACTCAGTACTCCTAAATTTGAATTAGAAACATCAACACAAATTCATGACACATTTCCTCTTAAACAAATAAAAACTCCAATTTTCTAGTCATTACAAACTGAAAATGCTGAGAGGAAATGACACTACAGTAGTTACTAGCTAGCCGGATGCCAATCGTGGTCTCTAAATACTGTTTCCCATTGAAGGACAGGATGCTGGCTCCAGAGATGGGCAGCACCAGCCTGAAGCATCCTGTGATACCACAAAGCAAGGAAGCTTCTAGAGACTACCAGGATCATGTCAAAGGACTCAGGAGCAAACCCCAAGGGGCTCCTGTTAGCTAAAGATGCGACAATTGAGCATTTAAAAAAAAAAAAAAATCCACTAGACATCAAAATCAAAATCCACGAGTCAATCCATAATAGTACTAAAAGAAACAAGCCCAAGTGATTCTTGTGAATACTGGCAAATGAGGAACCCAGCCTTGATGCCGCCTCCCTTGTAAAAGTCGGTCCGGGAGAATCAGGGATGACGAGGAAAAGTTGTGCTTTGAGGACAGATCGCAGCACAAGGCAGACCTAGATAATGACCCCCACAGGCTGCAAAGCCTGCAAAGCCCATGGACTCGGAAGGAAGGGCCAGGCCGATATTAACTGAATTCTCCAATCAATCTCAACATCATGGTCTCCCAATGCAGACCAGAGTGCACCTGTGACGCAATCGAGCACAACTGTAAAGCAAAACCTCAAACCTAGGTCTGATCAACTTCGGAGCAGCGCTATCTAATAGTTGGAAAAGCTGGGGGGTGGGGGGCAGGTGGGAAATGGATATATGGGAACTCCCTGTGCTATCTGCTCAATTTTGCTGTAAACCTAAAACTGCTCTAAAAAGAAAATCTATTAATTAAATAAAAAAGACTAGAGAACAAAAAACAACAACCAGGGTTTCCCACAAATAAATTGCAAGGGAAGAAAAGAGGAGAAACCTGTAATTAAAAGAGACTTAACAGACATCAATTAAATGCAAGGGGGCGGGTCACAGGACCCCATTTTGAGGAAACTAACTCAAACGACATTCAGGGGATGATGGTGGAAATCTGAGCTTCTGGACAAGTGATGATACTAAGAATTCTTAATAATATGACTTAGGTGTGATAATGGCATTGTGGTTATGAGGGAAAAAAGAGTACTAGTCTTTGAAAGACTTAGAGCATTTACAGGGAAATGATATATATAGTAACCAGGACTTGTTTCAAAAGGACCCAGTGTGGGGAGGGAGGCAGATGAGGATGAAACAGACCACAAACAGGTGATTGTTGAAGTTGGGCGATGGTAGGTGGCGTTCATTATGGTATCCTCAAACTCTGTTTATGTTTAAAATTTTCCACAATAAAACATTAAACACACAGCAATTCCAGTCCTAAGTATATACCCAAGAGAAATGAAAACACACATCCACACAAAAATATTCACAGCATTACTTGCAATAGCCAAAAGGTAGAAACAACTTGTGTCCATCAACAAATGGACAAACACAATGTGGTCCATCCACACAATGGAATATTACTTAGCTATGATAAGGAATGAAGTCTTGATACATTCTACAACGTGGATGAACCTTGAAAACATCATCATGCTGAGCAAAAGAAGCCAGATATAAAAGGCCACATATTGTGTGATTTCCATTTACGCGAAATTCCAGAACAAGCAAATAGTAGAGAACGAAAGTGGATTAGTGGTTGCCAGGGGCTGGGTGAGGAGGGATGGGGAGTGACTGCTAATGGGTACAGGGTCTCCTTTGAGGTGATGAGAATGCCCTGGAACTAGACAGAGATGACTATTGTACAACATTTGAATGTACTAAATACCACCGAATTGTACACATTAAGTGGGTGAATATTATGGTATGCGAATTATAGCACAATAACAAAAAAATACTATTATTCTATTTAAAACAACAATAACTGCACACACACCTGGCCACCAGGGGGCAGTGCCAACAGTTAGATGAGACAATGACCTTGGGCAGGGCCTTTCCGTCCTGGGGGACTCTGGGTAGTTCACAGGGTTAAATAAGACAGAAGCCCTCAGTGAAAACAGGAGAATCCCTTTACAATTCTCTTTCAACTCTTTGATGATCTCACCTGTACCAGGTGCCAACAGGTCTTTAACACCTAATACTTGCCACCTTTCCTTTTTAACAAAAGAAGACAGTCTCAGGCTCAGAGACTAAAAGAGATGAACAGCTTTTTTCATTTTACTTGTCTTAATACATCTACCTTGTTTATTAGATGGAGTCCCTGAGTGGTGCAACCGGTTAAGTGGGTTAAGTGGTTAAGCACTTAGCTGCTCACCAAAAGATTAGAGGTTCATCCAGAGGTGACTCAGAAGAAAGACCAGGCAATCAACTTCCTAAAAATCAGCCACTGAAAACCCTATGGAGCTCAATTCTACTCTGACACACATGGGGTTGCCATGAGACAGAGTCAACTCAATGGCAACTGGTTTTAAGGATTTTCAAAGTCTGTAACGAAGGAAACAAGTAAGGACTTTCTGTCACAAGAGAAAGACTCTCAGTGGGGAGCGTGGAGTGGCCTGGGATCCTGGCCAGCTACGAGGGGCAAGAACTTCTGGGCTTAGTACCACAGGAGGGACACCAGCAAGTCACCCTGGCCATACTGTAGATCTGAGCTGGGCCAACAGTAAGTGGTCACCCTGTCATAGAGATATGTCCCAAGGGCAACATCACTGCGCCTATTTGACGGACGAGAATCTGAAACTTAGAGAGGGGAAGAACCTGCCTGAAGTCACACGGGCAGGGAGAGGCCTGGCTGGGACCCCATTGCTCTGTCCTACCTCAATGGCACCTCTCCTTCTACTTCGATCCTCCTTCTCTTCCTCCTCCTCCTAGGAGTCTCCCTGGCCACTCAAACAGAGCTGTGCTCTCTGGCCCTGGGATCCCTGCCTGTGACCCTTCCTCAGACCAGTCCCGAGCTCAGAGCTGGGGACTGTAGGCGTCTGGCATTGTGACCACCCGAGCCAAGTCCTCCAGGGCCCACAGATCCAGAATAGGACAGAATACAGTGGGGGCAGGTGAAAGGACAGATACGGAGCTCACAAGAGTGATGACGCCTGGGGATGGTCATCTGGAGCCACCTGGGGGACAGCCCAGGCCAGGAGAGTGGGGAACAGCATTCCCAGCCCCCGTGATGCAGCTGGGTTATGCTGGGGTAAAAAGGTGAGCCTGGTGGTTGGCAGGCCCCCACTGGTAGTCAGTTCCCCTAAGCCATGGCTTCACTCGTCAAGAAAGCGGTCCCTTTAAACCTTAAACCAAAAATA